AATATAACAGGCTTCTTACTCCTACTTCTGTAAACCTCATTGTATGAGGACTAAGGGCAGTCAGTGGAAGAGTGCTCTATTTTGAAATAAGCGCTGTGTACACATGCCCAAAGTCAAAATAAGCTATTTCGAGTTAAGCTACGCAATTGACATAGCTCAAGTTGTGTAGCTTATTTCGACTTTAGCCCTGCTGTGTCCACATGCCCTTTGAGAAACAGATACACAGAGTCTAGCCAGCAATTATCAGGTAAGTCTTCTCTAATGCTGAAGAATCTGTAGACAGACACCACATATATAAGGCTTGATCAGGCTTCAAAGGAACAGCAAAGTATAGGACAGGGAAGTACCCTCCCAGGAGAAAAACAGGAAGCCTCCCGATGGGGCCAGAATGTGGGGCGCACAATATGCAACTCCTCTGACTCATATTCCCTATCCATGCAACCAGGAAGCACATAGGACAGGTCAATGTGATTGCTGAGTCTGCCCCATACTCACTGTGCTCCTGGCCACCTGTACCTTGGGGAAGCATTTTGGTAATAGCCTATATGTTTCCCCATGAGTAACTGGTTCACTTTTAGTCAGTGCTTCCCCAGGTTGTGTAAGCTCTGGGGTAAGGTACCATGCTCCTCCCCCTCACAACCATATAATAACCAGTCAAGATCTCACAATAAATGGAGTTCTAACAAAAACGATATATTATCATTAAATAGACAAAATGCAAAGAACCAGTTAAAAGTTAAACTTTGGTAGCATAAAAATAATAATAGAAAACATGGTAAGATTTTATACAGTTGAATCAAAGGAGGAGTAACATGGGTTTGTATACAGTAATTTTGCGTCATTGTTAGACTAAAATATTTCCAAAATCATGTTAACCAAAACATATGCTGATTTGGGACTTAAACTTTTGGGATGATGACCATTCTTACGTTATCCAGCAAAGCACTTAAGCATATGGCTTCAAAATTAAGCACATGCCTAAGAGTGAATCTACACTGCATCCTTAGTTTGAAATAAGATATACAATTTGCACTACACAAACTGCACAGCTTATTTGGAAGTAATTTCAAAATAGCTTTTTTCAAAATTTGGTGTTGACTACACAGTGCCAAATTTTGAAATAAAGCACTACTCCAAAAAGTCCCTTAACCCTTGTGGAACAAGGCTTACAGGGATGCCAGAATAGCACGCTCATTATTTTGAAATATAGTTTGAAATAATGGGCATGTTTAAAGACATGTCATAGCTATTTTGGGATATTTCTGGTATCCCAAAATAGTGCCACTGTCTAAATGTAGCCCAGGAGTGCTACTGGATCTGCCCAGAGTGTTGATTGCCCTAGAGAGCTGTGCCTTTGACCAGATAACATTGGTACACGCATCTATCGTTAAAAAAAAAAAAAGAAGAAGAAGAAGAAGAAGAAAAGTTAGTGCATGGAGCTAAATAATAAATGCTTCCCTAGAAACATTATTGTTTTTAAAGAAATACAAAGTAGAAGGAAAATAGTAATTGGAGGATTAAAATAATATATTCCTCTGTTTCTCTCATCAAAAATTCAAACATTTCACTTTCTTCTCCATCACTTGTTCCTCCTCCTTTTTTGAGTTGAATGGACAAGAGAGCTTAAATAGATAAAACCAAACTAACAGAATAAACAGCATTAAAGTTATAGCTTTCACCCAGCTTCACAAGCACTCAGAATGGATTTATGTCTTTATTAATGAAATAAGTGATTAGTATTTTGAAATAAGTGATTCGTATTCATATTTTGGCTTTGCACTATAATATAAGCAAAGTGCTGCTCTTTCATACATAGGTAATGATCTGTGTGACTATCATTCAAGTCAAAACATCCATTTATAATTCAAAAAGTATGTGGATCACTCAGTGCATACATGACGAGTCTTAGTAAGAATGAACGAAGAGACTATACATCTTGATGGCCTGAGTTTCAGTATGCTGTGAGACTCACACCAGGTTTGCAACCGCTTTTGGAAGTTAAAGTCTAAAGCTTGACACATCAGCATTTTTCAGAGGTGTAGCTTACTGCCTCATTAAGTGCTTTCACTGTTACTTCTTCTACCTCTGGCTGTGTATCAGACACAACTGCAAGAAATACTATATTAAATCAGCAGTTTCCACTGACTATTCTTCATACAATGGTCCTGAGCCATAATATTTATAGAAATGTGAGATTTGTTTATAAATTTCATTTTGAATATGTAGGAGAGGGGTAGCCATGTTAGTTTGGATTTGTAAAAGTGACAAGGAGTCCTGTGGCACCATATAGACTAACAGATGCATTGGAGCATACACTTTCATGAGGAAAGACCCACATGCATCTGACAAAGTGGGTCTTTGCCCACGAAAGCTTATGCTCCAATATATCTGTTAGTCTATAAGGTGCCACAGGACTCCTTGTCGTATTTTGAATATGATTATTAGAGTATTAAATGCATTTTTATTTTCTCAGGCCACAGACTGATTTTCTAACTCAACTACCTATTTAGGTACAAACACATAAAATGAAAAAAATTATAAATAGCTGAACTGTATCCCCAAGTCATGTACTGAGAAAACCAAATTCAGACACACCTCAATTTTAGGGAACTGAAGTCATCAGAACTTTGAATGATTACAGGAATAATAGACTTTTCAAATAAAATAAAAGCATGATTGACAATAAAAATGGGTTTGATGACAATGACGTGGGTTTTCTTATCAACTGAACATAACACTTATATTTACTTGTTAAGAATCCTCCATACTATACTTAACTAGCTAATACAAGGTGAACCTCTGTAGTCCAGCACTATCTGGTCCAGCAACATCCAGATGTCCATTTATCATGGGTGTCGTCAAGTTTCCTATGGCCCCATAAAGTTTGTTTACAGTCCCCAGTCCTGACTCTTAGTGTTGGGTGCTGTTATTTAGCTCTAACTTACCCCTAAGGAGATGAGCAAGCAGTGGAAGTGCCGGTAATGCAGCTAAGAATAAGCATGATTTTTATGCTTATCTACTTATTTCCTTTTGCCCATGTAGTAAAATTGTGTAACATCACTAACACATTGTTATGATGAGAGGTGATAAGCCTTAGTTAGGCACAGGCTTATATAAGGCGTGTCATACATTATTAAGCAGCATTGCAAACATTGTTCTGTTTATTTGCTCGTGAAATAAAAATAAAAAGACCCACTCACAACAATATTGACCTCTCGTGGTTTGTCATATTCTCTGGTTTGGCATCAGTCAGGTTCTGAGGGTGCCAGACTAGAGAGGTTCAGCTTGTATAGTTTGTACAACATACTTCCATAGGATCTCTGCTCTTCCATTCCTAAACACAACCAAATTTGCTATGTATATCAGTTCTGCTGCTTAATTACAGCTTCCTCTCATCCCAGGATCCCTAACCACTGTCTAGAATGAACACTATCATGTGGCTGAAGTATTATATTTTCACTGTTGAGCTGTGTATTTAAAATTCTGATTTATTCTTTTGTCCACCAACCTGCAGAGAATATTCTTTTATGCAAAAGAAGGCCAGTCAGCAAATATTAGTATATTAAATTCTCCTGCTACCTGAAATTTCCCACTACATTTTGTTTAAGCCAAAGCATAAAGGCCACAGCTTAGAATTTGTATATCTTCATTGTACCAAAATACATCAGATTTCCTATGATGTTAGCTTATGCTGATGGGCCAGTTGTTAAGCTGGTACAATTCAGCATAATGCCATTGATGAGTTGGGCCACTATGTTAATCTAATTACTACATTGGGGAAGTCCTTTTTTTTTAAAATTGTGTGTCTCTGTTACTTGCAGCAAATATTCAAAACATTTGAGTAGCTGAGTGTCAAAATGTAATTTATATTGTGTTTTTTTATTTAAAAACAATTGACCTATATTTATTTAAGAATTTGTATGATGGTGATGCACATTAACTTTTGACTTACCATAAGATATATTCAAGGGTATCTTAGGTCGGCTGTCTCAGGGTGACTCAATCTATTCAAAAAGTTTCCCCTCTGTTACTCACTAGTTATTGGAGCAGAACTCAGTAAAATAGAGTTACTATGCGTCATCTTGTGATATTTGTGATGTACAGGATAGTGAGCCCGTCACTGGAATTATCTAATGTGGCCATTGTATAGACAAGACACTTTAGTGTGAATCTAATACCATGTATGTAAGCAAATCTAAACTGGGGACAGTATAGCTACTTACACTTATATTGTACCCACTATAACTTTTACTTTTCTTTTATGTAATGATTATCTGGTTTTTGCTTGTTCATAGTTTGCAATAGCTAAACAGTATATTTTGAATTCTAGCTAACAGTGTACTTATTGAAATGTATTTTTACCTTTCTGTGTATTTATCTTCACAGTTATTTTTCATATAGCATTCCACTAATGGTGTAGATGGCCTTATATAAGAGTCAAATCTCTTTTGTTGTATATGAATTAATTAAAAGAACAGACCCTTATAACACTCACTCCTTTACCAACAATTGCATTTAAAAATATGGGAGTGAGGAACATTAAACTATATAAACTATAACTAAAAATATAATTGTTTGAATAATATAATTATGAGAGTGCCAATAAAATCATAAATAAAGAAGTAAAAGAAGGAATAGAAGAATTTATGCTTTAATATTTTAGAAATAATACAAATTTATGCAACTTTGTAAAAATTGTCTTTTTTTCTGCCTAATTAATAGTTTATTATAGGTTTAATGAGAGAAATTAATGGTGCATAGCAAATGTATAAAAATGCCCTTTTGTGCTTTACAGTTATCTCTTTTCTTAATATCATTGGTTTAAACTTACCAGGTCTTAGGGTTCTAGAGTACTGTATGATAAACAGTATTTGACATGCAGTTTGTTTTCTGTCCATGCTATTGCAACAACAGTTCCAATTCTAGCCACTTTTTTCTTTTCTTTTCCTTTTTCTTTCTTTCTTTGTTTCTTTCTTTGTTTCTTTCTTTTTTTTATGCAGAAGATCATCAAATGAATTGTCACAATACTCGAATAATGCAAGACACAGAAAAAGACGATAACAATAATGATGAGTATGATAATTATGATGAACTGGTGGCTAAGTCATTGTTAAATCTTGGCAAAATTGCAGAGGATGCAGCATACAGAGCCAGGACAGAATCAGAAATGAACAGCAATACATCTAATAGTCTGGAAGATGATAGTGACAAAAATGAAAATATTGGTCGGAAAAGTGAGCTGAGTTTAGATTTAGACAGTGATGTTGTTAGGGAAACAGTGGACTCCCTTAAATTATTAGCACAAGGACACGGTGTAGTGCTTTCAGAAAACATTGATAGAAATTATGCAGACAACATTTCACAGCAAGATAACAGAAATATGAACTTTGTAATGCTAGGGAAGCCTATGAACAATGGACTTATGGAAAAAATGGTGGAGGAGAGTGATGAAGAGGTGTGTCTCAGCAGTTTGGAATGCTTACGGAATCAGTGTTTTGATCTGGCTAGGAAACTCAGTGAGACAAACCCACAGGAAAGAAATCAGCAGCAAAATATGAATTCTCGTCAACATGTCAGGCAAGAAGATGACTTCCAAGGAAGAACACCAGATCGGAACTATTCAGACATGATGAACTTAATGAGACTTGAAGAACAGTTGAGCCCCAGATCTAGAACTTTTTCTAGCTGTGCAAAGGAGGATGGGTGTCATGAAAGAGATGATGATACCACCTCTATTACTTCAGACAGATCTGAAGAAGTTTTTGATATGACAAAAGGTAACTTAACCCTGCTTGAGAAAGCTATTGCTCTGGAAACTGAAAGAGCAAAAGCCATGAGAGAAAAAATGGCAATGGAAGCTGGAAGGAGGGATAATATGAGATCATTTGAGGAGCAGCCTCCACGACAACTTTCTGGGGATGACAGGAAGCCTAAATCCAGTGACGGCCATGTCAAAAAGCCATATTATGGTAAAGGTAATATTTCTATATACCGTATGTCGTGTCATGAAAAAGTGTGAGCTAATGTGATAACAAATGATACTTAGAACTCTAATGTGAAGTCATTGTTTATATAATTGGTATGACTATGGCATGATTCTAAAATAGCATCATGCTGTTCACCTAATAGAACAACTCATTCTTAAGTGTTAGAAACATGTACAGTATTTCAGTGCAACACCATTTGGCTAAATAGAAAAATATAACTTTTCAGGGAAACAAAACAAATAAGAGATCATGTTGAAAGAGGCAAAGATTATTCTAAAGGTATTATGACTAAAAATATGAAGAGAATTGCATTGAGTATTATATTGAATGGTAGGATTTTATGATTGTATGGAGCAGTTAGTCAATCAGCTATGAAGTGCATATTTTACAGATTGGATTGGGTAGGTGGCATCATGATTTATAAAATTATCATCAAATGACAATTATTGATGAAGCCTCTCCTATCTAAAACGTAGAGTTGTCTGATAGAAATTGAACAGTATCAGAATGACCGATAATGTAAGATAGGGGCAGTGACTGCACATTAATTATCTTAAGATACTAAGGTAATGGAAACCATTTGCTATGCAAGGCATAGTGTGGCCTGGGCTGAGATCAATAGCAATTTCTTTCTTATATGCATTCCACTTCACTGGTTTCATTCCATTGTGGAAACAGTTAAGGTGCTGCCTTAACCATCATTATATATATAATATATAATGTTAGTTTTAAAATATGTTTTAATTTAAAGAATTATCCTAGTAAAGGTGTGTTTATATTAACACACCCCTTTGTATGTGTCTGCATTTATATGCATAGGGGATCTGTCCTGTAAAGCATTCAGTGCCTCCTGAAAGTTGTTGAATACCCTGAATTCCTATTGACTTTAATGGAAGTTGAGGGTTCTGCATTACTAAGGAGGTGGTAAGCATGTTGCTCGATTGGCTTTATATTGTATTTCCTATAGAAACACCTGGTTTCATCTCTAGACTGTGGGCTGGAGGCATTTTGTTTTTTTTCTTTGTTAAGCCTCTATTTACAAAGGGTGGTAACATAGCCATAACATCTGGCTGTGAGATTACAGTTGGCACACCACATCTCAGATTAGGAGATTTTTTTATTTTAGAACAGTTATGAAGGGCAGAAAATGGACAATAAATTCTACAAACAGGAACATGGAAGTTATTGGTTTCAGAAACTCTTCTGCAATGTAGCTTAGAGATTTTGTTTGCTTTCAGACACAAAAATCATAGTCCACTCTATGAACTGGTAATGTGGGGTGTTTGGGGAAGACATTTTAAATTGAGTTAAACAGTTTTCCGTGGCTATTGTTTGCACGTGACACATAATAGGTGTATGTTTCCTTCTTAATGTGCGCCTGTAACAAAACCAATCAGAACATGGCAATGTAGTGCTGACATCTTAAAATCCTTAAAACTAGGGATGTTAAATGTGGGTTAATTGACTAGTCGAGTAACCTCATGAATTCTTATCAGTTAGTTGACTAGTCTATAGTCCCTGGGGGCGGGGCTGGCAGCTAGTGCACTTCAGCCTCACTCCTGAGGAGCACCCTGCCACTCTGTGCTGGAGTTTTAAAACCAGCTCCTCTCACAGACCAGTTGCCTGTTACCCTGTGCTGCTGCCTCTGATAAAGAAGTAGCAGCACAGGATGGCAGCAGCCCCTGTCTGGGGGAGGTGGGGTGTCCAGACTCATCACAAGCCAGGACTGAGCCAGGCTGCTGGCCAGCCTGCTTAAAAATTTACTGGTAAGGGGAGAGGGGAGGGAAGTGTGTGAAGTCTATAGCATTAATCTATAAGCTTTTGCTTATTGGTTAATCAGTTAATCAACGACACTATTATATCCCTACTTAAAACAGTGTTTTCCAGATCCACCTACTCAAGAATGCATAGGAAAACACATAAAAATATATGCTGTCTCCAGAGGATTAATATATTAACAGTGGAAATATGGGCTTCTTATTTCATGATTTCTAGAACTTACCTGATGCCAAACTGCTTCTAAGAACTGTCTTATGAATTGGAGATAGGCCCAAACACAACCCTTGGATCCAAAGAAACACCGTGAAATTTATGGTCGCTTGGATTAAGAAACGTTACAGATGTGACACTCTTCTGTTTTTCATAGGGGAAGGCTGGATGAGACTGGGAGGAGAATGATTCTTTCCTCACACTTGAGAATATTGAGAAAAACAGAATATTGCAGTGCAATAGAGGGGAGAATGAAAGAAAGGGAATTATTTATGTCCTTCATTCTCATATCACATATAATCTCCCAAACATGCTTGCAAAAGTTTTCCAAGGAGATGAATGATATAATTAAAGGGAAATATTCTCAAGGTGGAGTGCCTAGAAGAATCGTAACTCCTGTCTTCTTTCTTTAAGAGCTCTATTCTCAGAGATCACTGAAACAACAAAGGTATAGCAACTCACCATTTTTCCCTGCATTTTAAAATCTTCCAGAGTGTCTTTCCTCCAAGATTAATACTTCTTAAACTCTGTGACCCAGCTTGGGCAAAATTTCCATTATGGCAAGGATTGAGTGAGGATTTCAGTATTAGGCTAAAAAAATCCCAATAAAGTAATACTCTCTATTGGAGGAAGGCATTCAAACAGAGTCAAAATATTTATGCATATATATCGAGAGGTGAATATAATCCTGAGCCCCACATTTTCTGTATAGTTGCATGGAGTTTTAGCGGGATGTCTTCTATTAAGTCAATGGGAAATTGTGCAAATAAAATTCTATGCAAGTTTCTGAAATGTAAGATTAGTGTGCAGCATCTTTTCTGACTTGCTAGACCATAAAGGCTCTTTTGGAGTTTGTAAATGCTATGATCCTAGGCCTCTGAATACTCGGGAGGATAAGACCAGCTCCTCAGGTGATTTAAATTGGTATACCTCCATTGACTACTACAGTACTACATCAGCTGAGGTTCTAGCCTGTAGGCTCTAGAGAAGCCATTATGGTCTATTGTGTCAACCATTTACATTTTTATAGTCCTTTAGTACTGATATATTTCTATTATACTTATTTCATTTATTTTTATTATTTATTCACATATCTAACACTCTCTTCACATTTCAATGTGTTTTATACAAAGAGTTGTACAGAGTTTTTTGTAAGAGTGAAAATGGGACTGGTGGTCTAGTGGTCTCAGCACAGGTATACGTGGCAGGGACTCCAGAATTCTAATCCTAGGTCTGATATTGACTTCTTCTGTGTCCTTGCGTTTAACTGCTAAAAGTCTTTGTCTCAATTTCCCAAAGTATAAACTGGGGAGAATGGTATTTACTACTTCACAGGGTTTTTGTGATGTTTATATGACTGGACAGAGTTTTTAAAATGACATTTTGTAAATAAATACATTTAGTATTGAATGGCATAAAGCATAGGTATGTTGCACCTGGCATACATGCAAATAAAATAAAATAAAATATTAGCAATTAGAAATGCATTTGTGAAAGTGAAATTTAAAGTGTGATCATAAAAGTTAACCGTGGAAATCATGCCAGAGGAGCAATCAACAGGTGATAAGGAGTTTTTCCTAAGCCAAAAGTTTGGAATATACAACAACTACATGAGAGCACAAAAATAAAAATCTGCCACTGAATGTACATTCTGGGACATATGTACAATTTATTTACTAAAAGCAGATTGTACCCAGAAGTACTGAAGTACTGAAAGGGTCCCTGGAGGTCCCTGGGTTGTATATGCTCAAACAGGGCTGAATTTTACCGTGAGACTTAATAGAAACCTAACAGCAAAATGTTATTTCCAAAGGGGGGGGGAGCATAAATCCCACAGCAAAGAAATAAGAGGAGCAGCATAAAATATTATACATAAAAGATGATAGATCAGTTTGGGTTCTGAATTCAGGATTGATAGAAAAACTAAAATGGGTGATGATGTTTGCTTTTAGCTATTAGCTTAGGATGAGAGCATCTTTGTAGGCAGAATAGCTTGAACTTTTTTTTTTAAATACTAATGTATAAATCAAAATGCAGGACAATGTAGCACTTTAAAGACTAACAAGATGGTTTATTAGATGATGAGCTTTCGTGGGCCAGACCCACTTCCTCAGATCAGAAGTGGGTCTAGCCCACGAAAGCTCATCACCTAATAAACCATCTTGTTAGGCTTTAATGTGCTACATAGTCCTGTTTTTTGTTCCAGTTAAGTGAAAACAGTCAAACCACTTCTCTTCCTGTGCCCCAATCAGTTCCTTTTTCCAAAATTGGGGAACAGTGTTACAAATGCTGTGGTGTAGCTTCTATTACAAGCTGAGTTGGAAGCCTTAGGATGTTACTTTACAAATGTTCTGTTACAGGAAACAAAATGATGAAATATATGCTCAAGTTCTAGTTCGGGGATGCTTTCAACATCAGTTCCATTATTTTCTTGGCACAAAACAATAGTTTATTGAACAGAAGTCTACTTAGACCCTTTTGTTGACTTGTGAACAAAGAAACAAACAGCATTATAGAAGACTATTAATCTTTAAAGCTTACGAATATAAAAACTTTATAGAGTCCTGACTATGACCCAAATTCAAAATAGGGGATTGTTGCATCTGATTAGATCGTTTACCCCATGATGGTTTATTAACCGAAAAAAATGCTTTTATGTACTTTTGTATTCTATTACTTCAGAAGGAATTTAGGGAAATCGGTATCATCTGCTTAGAGTGCCTTTGACTAAGAATATAGTTGTGGCTGAATCATTGAATCTATACGCTAAGGAGCTGGGTCTGCTAACCTCAAGAGACTGAACTGCTATGACAGTACATTTGCAGGCTTCAATACATCAGGCAAATAGCATTGAAAAGAAAGGGGGAACCTGCCAACAGTTTCAGAGTGTCCTTACACTCTTAAGCAGATGCTTGCCAGCAGAGTACTGATTGTCAGTGGTGTGGCTTTGCTATAAGAAGGTCACGACCCAATCACAATGAATATGTATTGCTGTGATCATAGGAGCCTGCAGTATGAAAAGAAGATGGGATGAAAGTGACAAAATTGTTTTAAGAAGTAGCAGTTTTTTCTTCTGGTATTTTTAAGAACATTTACCAAAGAATAACTTAAAACATTAAATGAGCCTTCTTACAGAAATCTGGAAAGCATAATTCACTTGACACATTTGTTGTAAATTATAGATCCCTCAAGAACAGAAAAGAAAGAGAGCAAATGTCCTACCCCTGGGTGTGATGGAACTGGCCATGTAACGGGGCTTTACCCCCATCACCGCAGTTTGTCAGGATGCCCACACAAAGATAGGGTCCCTCCAGAAAGTAAGTCCACATTGTTTCATGGAAACTGGGGATAAAACTCCAAAGATTTTTCTAGCATGCTTTTTATACCTTTTTTTTTTGGTATCCATTTTATAGTATGGTATGTCTGTGCTATATTTTTTCTTTATTCCATCATTTTCATATCTTTACCAATTTTTCAATTAAACAAAACAACCTTTAAAGCTGTATTCTTTTTATTCTGAGAATGGTAGGTTATTTTTAAACAGACACCTTCAGTCTGCAGAGAAATAATTTCCAGAAATACCACACTGCTTTTACTTCTGAGCGCTGATGTCACAGCATGAACCTTCACTGTTGTTTAGTGCAGGAATAATTGTGCTTTCAAGTTTGAAAATCTCACCGCCTATTTTATTTATGTATTTATTTATGTGGAGACATAATGAAGAAATGTACATTATAAAAAAGAGGGAGACACAGAGCGAGCGAGAGAGAGAGAATTTAGCCCTTTATCTAGTAGTACTGTTCAGGATTTTGAGCCATATTCTCTTGTCGTTTATGTGGGTGCAAATTCCCTTAAAGTCATGAGTACTGTGAAGACTGAAGTCAAAGGAAATTGCACTTGTGGAAAAGAAAGGAGGATTTGAGCTTGAAAGTTTAAGGCAAATCTTCAGCTGACATAAATTGGAATAGTTCCACTTAAGCTAACTGATCCGTGTTGAATCATTTATACCTGCTAATGCTCTGGCTAGGGTCTGATTCTCTTTCTTACACTGGTGTAAAACAAGAGTTTCAGTCTGAATACTGTGGGCCTGTTTCTCCATTGTATTGCATATTGAGGAGCAATATGTAAATTAAAATAGGCACAAAACCATCCAAATCAGAAGAACAACATTTAACACCCATTTTGGGCAGGTGTCCAGAGGCTTCAATGAAGAGAAAAATCAGACCCAATGAAATTTTCACTGGTATAAAACCAATTCACGTGAAAGGAGAATCAGATCCCTAAGGGTACATCTACACAGCAGTGTTATTTTGGAATAACTGAAATTATTCTGAAATAACACAGTGCGTGTCTACACAACAAGCCATTATTTCAAAATAATGGTGAGCTGGAGAACTTCTTACTCAGACTCCTGTAACCTTCATTTCACAAGGAGCAAGGGAAATCGAAGGAAGAGTAATCTTCCTTCGACTTCCTGCTGTGTAGACAGCACCAAAAGCTAAATTATGCTATTACAATTTAAGCTACGCAATTGATGTAGCTGAAGTTGCATAGCTTAATTCTACTTTATTCCTGCAGTGTAGATGAAACCTAAGACTTACTCCTTAATAACTGTCAGCCTGATTCACTAGAAGTGTATTAGCGGAGAGAGAGAGAGAGAGAGAGAAAGCAACATAGATTCTTCTCTTTCATAGCAGGTTTGCTCTTTCTTAAATTAAGGTGATGAAGTATTTTTAGGGAAACTCATGGTATCTTGGTTGATCTGTGATTAAATGAATACATTTTTTCCCGTTTTGCAAGATATGTAATTTTCTGAAGCACAAATATTTACTCAGGTGCTCAAAGTTCTCTCACATTTTTTGTAAATGATGGAAGTTAAACTCTTGAGAATATGTTGTAAATCAAAGAAGAATATAGCTTTAAACTGTTTGCATGTTCCATAGCTGCTAAAATGAAAAAGGTGAGCTCATCTTTGTATTTATTTATTTATTTGTGTATTTATTTATTTAACTCATTTTCCTGTTATGCTGGCCTTGTGAAGCATGTTTCAAGAACAGCTATGACTAGCAGGAATTTTAGAGTAAAGCTTTTGCATTTGCACACATTTTAATACACTGCCGGTGATGGTGGTGGTGATGATGATCTTTGAATTAGTATCTATGGATTAAATCTTCAGGTGTCTGCTTGGTTTCTATTCAATTCTTACTCAGCCAAAGCACCCATTGATATGAGTAGAGTTTGCCTGAGTGAGAACTAATGACTACACGAGTGCATCCTGTGGGAATAAAATGGGAGCCATTTGGAAGGGCTTAGTGGCCTAGTAGTTCTGTATGTTAATGCACTAGCCACGCAGCTCTGGAGACATGGATTCAGTTATGTCTCTTGTCACAGAAAAGGAAAGGTCTCAGTCAAGTTCCTGTTTAATGTACCTCAGTTTTACAAAAACTTTTAATAATTTGGCCCACTATACCAAGAGTGTTGACATTCAGAAGAGATTTGCCTTGAAAAAATTTTGGGAAATTTTCCACCCAACTTACTTAAGCCAGTGCTACCTGGTTAATCACTCCACCAGCCCTCAACTTTACAAAGTGCTTAGTGCTTACTGCTTAGGAGTTTCTTTTCCATATTATTTTTCAATTTGCATCCTTATTATTTATGAGAATATATGATATATACAGAAGTAAAAAAATGGCAAGGGGACCAATTCTGACTCCATGCTTACATGTGTGGTAACTTCCATTGACTACAATAGGAGTTACACCCATTTGACTGTGCACAGAACTGGGCCCTAGTGAAATTGAATTGATTTTCATAACTAGGGTCAAATTCTGCTCTCAGTTGTACTGATGTAAATCTGGAGTACCTCATTTTTTTTATTGGTATCACTGGGAGCAAATTTTGGCTTTCAGGATTTACTACATGTGTGTAAAACTGCATTTCACAGTTGCAATCCACACTTTATTACTGGGCTGTTCCCAATTCACCCGTTGCTATTGAGCTGATCAGTGTTCAGCATTTATGTATGGAGAGGATGTTGGGGTTTTCCTACTTCACCATCACACCAGAGACACATTAATTGTAAGAATCTGTAATCTCCATAACTCTCACCGTACAGTGTTACCTATGTTAATTAGCATAAGGTCACAACACCTTCTTCCCTCATCAGACTTTATTGGTTACATGTATTTTGAGGAATGCTGGTCATTAATGAATCCTGGATGGTTTTTTAATGGTTTCAAATATACTGGGACTTGATTTTTTTTCTTGCTTTCATACGCTGCTGTTTTCTCTTACTCTCCTTGTCAAGTTCTTGCCATGCATGAAAATGTTCTTAAGTGTCCTACACCAGGCTGCACAGGTCGGGGCCACGTAAATAGCAACAGGAATTCTCACAGAAGGTAAGGATGCCCTCAGTGGACTATAGTCTAGAGAGAACACTCTTTAGAGCTGCAGCACTTCTGGCAGTGTGTTCTGAGAGTGTGTATACGTGTGTGTGGTTTTGTTCTTGTGTTTTAAAGCTGACCGATGGTGCATACTGTGCTTTATTCATTTTGCATCATAAAATACTTAAATTTATTTTACAATCTGAAGATATTCTGTGCAGAATTAATTTGATTCATGTAAGATACATTTTAAGCATCGCTTGCTTGTTTTTATTTATTTTTTAACTTAGCAAGAGTTGTAATAAAAGAAGAGCATGACCCCTAAATAGAAAGTAGTAGAAGAAGTAAAAAGACCACAAACATGATCAAGACCAGGACAGAGTTACTGTTCATATAATGTCCATCTTTATGAGTGATGACTTCACACTATGTAAAAAATTTCACTTTAATAATAACGAATTTGAATGAATAAATAAAAATTTTCTACCATGAACCTGAAGTCCATATTTTGGCAAAACTTAATGAGAAATTTGCCTGAATAAGAAACAGTATGGAAAAGTTCTTTTGATTTTTCAAAATGAAGAAAGCAATAGAATTTCATAGAAAATTATACTTTAATATAGAGGGTTTTTAACCATCCAATAGAAAGGGTCTTATTTTCTGTTATAACCTAGGGGATTATTTTTAAATATCTATAGAAAAGTTATCTATATTTTATGGTGTTTTCATAAGGAAATTGAGGTCTGTATTGTAACTGAATGGCAAAACCCAGAAAAGGTGGGCAGAGAGCACAGAAAATTACTTAAAGTTCCAGTTACTGAATTCCTTTTAACATTAACTGCAACAAGATGGCTTAGGAGACCCAGAGAACACTGGTGGTATGGTCCTCCACACTTAAAGAGCTTTGGCTTCAGCAAGAGCTCTCAGCTCAGCTCCCTGGATTCCCTTGCAGAGGACCAATCTCTTTGGAACCTCCTTCTTCTCTGGAGCTATGCAGCCTTTGGATGCCTCCCTCTGATGTCATGCAGCACAAACAGCAAAAGCTTTGGAGGGAACTCACTGGCTTCAGCAGCACTAACTTCTGTTTGGATATCTGTTGGGATATCCCTGGTGTCTGAAGAGAAGCATATCATTGGAAAGCAGTGGCCAGCACTAATCTGAAATTGTGTAGCGCTCCCCCCCCAAACCTTTCCCTTATGGAACAGAGACAGAGAGGTTGCCATGGGCACCCAGGGAGGAGGTGCAAGCATTCTGCTCACCTCTTTCTGCAGCTTTTGGGGCATTTTTCTGCTCTCCCCCCCCCCCCCTCCTTTTTTTCTTCCATTGAGAGGGAAACTTCTAGGCCTGAGTAATATTTCAAGCTGAGCCCTGTGAGAGGCACCTCTGTCTCTACTTTAAAACTAGTGTCACAAAATGCACTGATTTACCTTTCACTTTAATATCTTTTCCTGTGGAGAAAGCAAGGAACTGTGGACACATAAACTTACAACAGACAATAAGGAGAAAAAGACCCTTCCATTGTCAGGTCACAGGATTTTACAAATTCACTAAGAGCACCATCTGCTGGTAACAGGATATTTATTTTCCACATTTCTAAATATTTTCTAGCAGAAACAGACTTATTACTATCACATCAAAAACAGTTCAGCATTCGTAAATTAGAGCTCAAATCCAGACGTCTTGTTTCTTTCATGTTACATTATCTAGATTAGAATGGCCTTTAGTGGCTTAACTTCATGAATAAACAGCAAGAAAAATATATATTTGTTATAGGTTTAGAGACAAATTGTCCACTGTTTTATACCCCTTACAAACTAATTGAAGTTAATGAGGCTGAATGAGGTGTGAAGCAGCACAAAATTTCCTCTGTATTGTGTTGACATTGAATAATCTTCATCAACCATTTCAGTGACAAAATGTGTATAAACAAAAGAGCCAAGTTCTGCTAACAAAGCTGCAGGGTAAATGTTGGCTTATATTCTCTTCTTCCTACCTGAATGCCTCTTAATTGACATCCATGCGAGTTCTGCCTATGTACGGTAGGAAGAGAAGAATATTGGATGTGAGATCATCCATTCAGCTTTGAAAGCAGAATGTTGCTCAAAGACATGAAGTCTTTTCTAGAGGAAATGTATGACAGAAAAAGTTCTGGGAACTTTTTTACTCCATATTCTTCCTCCTGCTAACTAAGGAGGAGAAGGAGTAATTGGATCAATGCTACAATGTGAAACTGCTCAGGACAAGACAATTAAATTTCCTTTCTGTAATTGCAGCCTCTCTGGATGTCCTATTGCTGCAGCAGAGAAACTCGCTAAAGCTCAAGAGAAGCATCAGAGCTGTGATGTGTCAAAATCAAACCAGGCATCAGATCGGGTTTTAAGGTATTAGAAATCACTATAATACTTAATACTATGCAAAATTCATCACACATTAAGTTAATCTGAGCATTTATATCTATATACATTGTATATACATATATATACCCCTTAAAGAAGAGTTTAGAATTAGGGCTTCTGGATCAATTTTCTCAGCATTTATTTCCCAACAAATTTGCATGGGGGTGGACTGGTAATTATTTTGGCAAATATATATAAAGCCTGAAAAGCTCATTTTTGTCTTAGGCATTGTTTGGTGTAAAGCTGACTGCTGGAGTGCAAAGTCTAAGAACAGTGTGAAAAAAAGTTGGTATCTTTTGGGAATAAACTAATATTTACCGGTAAGTCTTGTTTTCTTCAGCAGGCTTTTACTAGTAAATATCAGTTTAAATGAAAACCAGAAGCCCTATTTTCAGTGTTAAATTGGCAGAATCGCTATTTATGCACCAAAAAAACCCCAACTGATCGAGTTCAGGTGCCAAAAACACTTAAGGGTTAGTTCATTGTCTCTGTTTTGCTCCTTCCCCCACAGAAGTGACTAAAGGAATGGAAATCCCTTTCCATTGGCTTATGTTTTGATGGGAGGAGGAGATTGAACTAATCTGTCTTAATCATCTCTCTCCATGCATTTGGGATTCAGCATTTGTCCTGTGCAGAATGGAGCTCTGTACTACTACATGCCCCTAGTACTGGTCCAGATGTGAGTGGACAAAAATGTGTCTTCTGGGGGAACTAAGAGTTTAGGGAGCAGTGCAGAGGCATCGGATTTCTGCATGAAGGTACTGGACCTATACTGATGTCCCAAGAGCTGCAGAATTTCCCCATGAATATTGTAATAACTGGAGATTTGGATGGCCACATCATCTTCTCTCTATGGGAGAATTTGAAGGACTCTCTTCAACTTCCCACACAAAATTTCATAGACCTCCCCTAAATTTCTCTCTGTGAGGTTATCATTTTGAATTAAATTTTGATAGTGAGTTATAACAAACGTTTTTTACTCTGTTATCAACATCTTTCTTTGAATATTCTTTTAGTGCTTCATCAAATCTTGATGGCATTTTCTAAACCCTTGTGATCTCATAGTTAAGAAAACAGAATTCTGTCCTACATCAGTAAAACGTACTGTTATGTAATGCATTTCGATTTTGTTTTCCTTTTCCTAAGAGTTTTCAGTGGCTTTATCTGGTCTAGACCCAAGTTCCAGTTTCACTTTTTTCAGACAGTGTCCCAGATTCTTTACTCAAAGACGATGCTTTAAAATAATAATAATAATAATAATAATAATAATACATATCTATTGAGCAAAATCCTCAAATCTTCAGTTGAGAGGAGACCTTATTGTTGGTTTTTTACTCCTCAGAATTACACAATCCAAAAATGCAGAGTTTTTCACTGCTCTTTAGAGAGAAGTCACAGGAGTCGGATGCCATGCTGTTCTCTAGCAAACTCCTTAAATAGTTGTTTGGCAGTTTTGCTTTTGCCTCTGGGTCTGTAATGTATTTTAGATCTTCATGGGCAGTCTGAGTAAAACTGTCCTCTCAGTCACTACATCCATTTTACCTTTAACTCTTGGATCAATTTAAGATGGACGTCCTAAGGGCTATCATGTAAATGCCACATGCAGCAATTAATTGGGGATTTTATGTGTTTCAAATATAAATTCCGTGAGCTGATCTTTCACTTATCTCCATCCCACCAGCATGCAGAATGTCTTCACTAAAAAAGTCAAATTGATAGGATTTTTGCTCTGCCGAAAATTTGTGGTTTGTTTTGAATATCCACTATGGGTACGTCTACACTTGGTCCCTAGTTTGAACTAAGGATGCAATTGCAGGCAAACAAAATTGCTAATGAAGCGGGGATTTAAATATCACGCACTTCATTAGCATGATCTCACCGGCGTGTTACGCCATTCGACAGCTGTTTCCAAAGTGAAAGTGTGTGCCGGGAAGCATTAGTTCAAACCTTGATTCAAACTAACGTTACTCCTCAAAAAATGAGGAGTATTTAAATCCCCGCTTCATTAGCAATTTTGGTCGCCTACATTTGCATCCCTAGTTCGAACTAGGGAGGAAGTGCAGACGTATCCTATGGGAATTGTATTATATTCTTATATGAGCCTAAACTATATTGGGATACACTGACTATTTGGCCCATTGTATTTTGTGAAAAGTAAAGAGAAATTTTCCAAAGAAACCTAACATACAAAAAAAATCAAAGAGTACAGTATGAATTATATAATTTCTTGGGTAATTTACACCTCAGTCTCTTGACTAAACTCTATGAAAATTAATTCATCCAGAAACACAAACTACTAAGAATATGTTAGTATTTCTGGCTGATTATTGTATTCCACTTCATTAGGCAGCTAGGCACGATGGCTTTCCTAGTTGGAACTAATTTAGTATACCCTAGCATGCCCCTTCCTTACATCATTGTTATATTTGAGGGGGAAGAAAAGGGGTTTGAACCTCAGTGGTACTGAATGTCCAAGTCTGCAGTTAATCTTCCTAAACCCCTGATAAAATCACTGAGTTTTAGGACACTCGGCCCCTCATAGGATTTGCTGTCTAAGGGCCAGTCATGCAATACTTTCTCACATGAGTAAGGCTTGCATGATCTAGCCCTCATTTTGCATACTTCACATACTGTGGGCTGCTAGCTTCTGCATCCATATTCAGGAGAATTTGTACAGGTCTTTACAGCTTCCTGTTCACTGAGCCTTCAAAAGGCCTACCACAGGGCATGGGAGCCAGTTGGGCTTTCTCCTAATTCTCCTTCCCCTCAACTCACAGGGAAAGGGAATTTTAGATGATGCAAGTATATATCAGCTTCCACTCCATCCCTAATGATACTGTGGGACCCACCTATTAAAGGTGGCACATGGAGCAGCCCCATGAGTCACAGTTCATGCCAAAGCTTTGTATGCAGGGAGGCAGCAGGAGCCAGAAAGACTGGATGATAGTTCAAAGGCAAGACTGATCATGTGGCTGCCTCTTGCGGCTCTCCCAAGTTCTGTGTGAACTCTATATTGAAGAGGTGAGAACCCCAGCTTCTTTTCTGACAGTAAACCACGTGTCAATACTCTCAGCAGAATTCAAAGAAAGTTCTATGAGCTGAGTGGAGAACTTAGTGCTGTTTTTTTACTTCCAGTAACTAAAGGAATTTGTCTAACATTTCCATTGGTCTGCCTATCCCTCTCTATTCCACCATCTGAAAGTACATTGTTATATAATGTAATTACATGGGGTAGGGGAAAACCTTATGTATTTTTTAAATAGAACCTTTCACCAATTATAGTGTTTTTAGTCACAGAATACATTTAGCACTATTATCATTCATTTATCCTAAGCTTTGCTTAAAAAAATATATTTTGTTTGTCTGCTGGAAACAACCAAACCAAACAAATATAGTCATAATAATAATATATTGCTGTCTCTTGAGTGCAATAAATAACTCAGATTTTCTAATCTGAACTATAAATTATGCACAGACACAATAAACTGAACTGCATCTAACAAACTGTACATATCTTTAATTTCTAGGCCCATGTGCTTTGTTAAGCAATTGGAGATCCCTCAGTATGGCTACAGAAACAATGTCCCCACCACCACACCCCGCTCCAACTTGGCCAAGGAACTAGAGAAATACTCTAAGACTTCGTTTGAATATAACAGTTATGACAACCATGCCTATGGCAAGAGAGCCATAGCTCCCAAGGTGCAATCCAGGGATATATCCCCCAAAGGATATGATGGTAGGAGGTGCACACTCTTATACATGAGAGACAAGTTTGCAGTTAATGTGTTTGTGTATGTAAACTTCATAAAAATAAGGCATACTTCATGTTCATACAGTATTAAGGAGAATGCTAATCACAGCATGACATTGTTATGTTTAAGTTACTTTTTAAAACCTTTTTTAAAAAAACATTATTTTATATGGTGCTTGCTGCAGAACTGTTGCACTGACAAGAGAATATCTTCAGCTATTCAAACCTTAGGATGTATTGAGCCTGCAATAAAAACTAAATAGTAGAGCCAGTCCTTGTGACAAAGTAGCAGTGTATTATGCTGCCATGTGTGAGACCTGGCTCCATGGGTTGCGTTAGGATTCTTGCGTTTGTACAGTAGTTAAGGAAAGTCATAAATGTAATGTGCTTGCTCTCTAGGGATGAGGAGGGAAAAAACATTGACCTCATTGCATTGCAGCCTCTCCCCCTTCCCCCAATTGTCAGTTAATTAAGGGCCTCTGCTCACCTTATCCACAGGAGGATTCTTGTGAAATCAGTGTGAGAACTCATGTGAGTAAGAAGACCAGGATTTGGTTGAAAGTAGAATTAACACTGATCTCTGAGGCTATTTTTTCCTTTTAGGAAAGAAAGTGTGATGGGGGTAGGGAGGAGGCGGTTATCAGGGGAGAGGAATTGAATCAGGGAACAAAACCCCCTATAGCTAATGAATGAAGGGCTGGAGTTGTCCCATTTTTTTGATATTCTAAACTTATCAGAACAACATCACAGCATTCCCTCGCACTTTTCCTGGTGCAACATGTTAATTTTCCAGATAAATTCATTTTACAAGTTGAAGTACTTGGGATTGCTCACTGACTAGCCTTTGAAATCCCAGACAGGTATCAGATTTTGTTTAGTGAATTCAAAATAAGTGTGGGCTAGTGGAACAGTCTCTGTTGTATTAAAACAGATTCCGAATTTGAAAAGTATATGTGTGGGGAAGGAGGAAATTGTAACCACTGCTGTTTCCACCTTTCCTGTTTTTGATAGTCAAGATTTCCTATAAGAGCAGCAGGAAGGTTGTCTCTTCCTAATAAAGAGTATGGGAGAAGGCAACTGTTTCTGAGTATAAATGCCTTCATGTCTTAAACCCTTCACTACCCACCCTCAAAGTCCCAACTTAATAGAGAAATAGGGTAAATTCTGGTAAGTTATACCATTTAAGTCAACAGGTTTGAACGAGTAATTGAACTTACTAGGTTTATGCTCTGTTAGTTTTGCAGAAGGGGAAATCATAATCCACTCCTTCTATGAATATGTGTATGTTTAGGGATCATGTTCTTGGGTGTTGGAGTGAACAGCAAGAATGTATTCTGTTTGTGGACCCATTTAATAAAACATTCAAGCATGTGCTTAAATCTTATTGAAGTGAATAAGACCTAAGAACATGCTTAAAGCTAAGCATATACTTAAATGGTTTTGCAGACTTAGACCCTAAATTAGAAAGGATGATAGGGAATTATTCTACTATCTATAGATACTAGTGTTTCTCAACCTATTGACCATTGTGGGCCACAAAGGTGGTTCTCTATGGCTGTGTCTAGACTACATCCCTTTTTCAGCAAAGGGATGTAATCAGGCACATCGATATTGCAAATGGAGCCGGGTCTTAAATATCCCACCCTTCATTTGCATACTGGTGGCTGCCACTTTTTTTTGAAACGGGGCTTTTTCAAAAAAAAAAAAACCCGGCAGTTTAAATGGAAATCTTTCGAAAATAAAACCCTTTTTCGAAAGATCCTGTAAACCTCATTTTTTGAGGAGTACAGGATCTTTCGAAAAGAGGTTTTATTTTCAAAAGATTCCCATCTAAACTGCTGTTTGTTTGTTTTTTTTCAAAAAAGCAGCAGCCACCATTATGCAAATGAAGCACGAGATAGTTAAATCTCGGCTTCATTTGCAATGTCAAAGTGCCTAATTTACATCCCTTTATCGAAAAAGGGATGTAGTCTAGATGTACCCTATGTGTGATGTGGGTCGCATCCACACAACATATATATATTAATTGCATGGCCTTAAGAATGTCACATGGGCAGCAACTGTGTGCTAATTGGGCCTGAAATGGTCCATGGGCCACAGATTGAGAACCACTGACACCCCTTTGTCTTTGAAATAATATTGAGGTGAGCTTGCTTTGGATGTCAATGACTCAGTCAAAGAATGAGTATGGGGTGATGGTAACACTTTTAGATATGTGAGACTCAGTAAATATGCCCCTTTTCATTCACATAGGATTTTGAGGCTAGCTTGGGAGGTATATAGCATTAACCCAGTGTGTACATTAGGGAAGAAATTTTTGTTTAGAAGAGGTATTATACAGAAATTTGATAGCAGCCTAGAACTCAATGGGAGACTGGTAATTAATCAAAGATTCATTCTGTTTAACATTCTAAGATGAAAACAGAAATACGTATAGTAGTATTAAGGGTCTGAAAAATGAATCAGTTGATGTTTTAATCTTTTAATTTTGAGGCAGCACCAAGCTTTGTCATAGACCATCAGAAAAAATGTCCTGGGGCTGATATATTCAGCAAATAAATGGTTAAAAGTGGCATGGACTATGCTTGATTTTTGTGTGTGTGTGTCTAAGAATTCAATAGGGAGAGGACTCCGTATGTTGTAGGCTATGATGCCCCAGTGATGGGACAGAGGGATCATCTTATAAGGAAGGGGAAGATTGTTTGGCTTTATTTTCCCTTTAGGGACAACATCATAATGGGTTACATTTTGGGCTTATTTTATATGACAGTAATGGTGGGAACAGCTAGACCCAGTGTCCAAAGGAGCTCACAGGACTTTGCAGTTGGGAAGTGCTCATGGATAGTGGGAAACTTTTGCCAATTTGTTCCTCTCCCCACAAATTGTCAAGCAGTCATCCCTGAATTCTAACTTCTCAGTTCCTTGCACTGGGGCTACATAGTCCCTGAAGAGTTCCTATGAGGTACAGAAGAAATGTTGGAGTTATGGTTAACTTCAGCAATAAAACTGGTACCAAGGCTGGTGGTGCTGAGGATAGAGGATGATGGAACTGTGTCTCATTCTCTTACAATCCTAGCATGCATCCCTTAATTTTGATGGCTTATGCTACTCCCAGCATACTTAGCTATGGAGGAGTTGTTGGGATATTAGAGAAGGACTGACCCCTCTATTATCATTTGTTATCTGTTATTCATTAGGGGAAAGACAGGGTTGTGTCTCTTGGAAATGGCATGGGTGGGAGCCACTGCCTAAGGGCTATGTAGTTGTCACTGATGGAAGAGATTGCTTTCTGGTTTGCCACGCAGCTACAAAGCATAGGTGGATTATAGAAGTCCAAACAACACTGCACCACAGCAATGCACCAGACCACAGTTTAGATATAGAGCAGAATTGTAAAATGTGTTTGGGATTTTTTCTTTATTTGGACAGTTTCATTACCATTCCCCTTGCCTACAGATGGATTTTACTTTATCTGGATTCACTATACACAGAAATCCTGAATTTCTTTTTCCCAAACTAATGTGACATAGATAACCCAGGTTTCATGAATTGTTTAAAAATTGTCCAGTTAATGTCAGACTAAAACGACCACAACCATTCACATATATTTAACACAGATATAATGCTTTTAACCTTCAAAGTGTTTCACAATCATTGATTAATCTTCACAACACACCTAAGATTAAACATTATGATTGTCTTTCTATTAATTGAGAAAATGAAGCCGAAAATTCATGTGATTTTACCAAGGCCACAGAGGGAGTATGTGTCAGAACCCGGGAGAGTTTCTTATGACTGGTCCTTCACTGCCCTTTATTTCTCTTTCCTGCTTTCCTCTCCCATCTTCTCTCTTCCTCCCCCTCCCCGTATTGATATATTAGATATATTATTTTATATATTGTCTTATATTATCTTATATTTAATTTAAATTTAATCAGCTTTATAATATATAATATGGATCCATTTTTCTTTTGTAAGTTATAGAAAAGGCATGTTATTCATTCATTTGAAACATAGTGCTAATTTTGCAAATTATGTGTGCAAAGTGATTGCTGTTTAAGAGTCATCACTTACTATGTTAACACAGTGGTATTGAGATACTGTACTTATTTCCTCTTGTAAGTTTAGAGAAGTAGTTGAGTATCTTGGCTACCAGAATGTTGCAACCATGGATAAATGCTCAGTTTTTAGTGACCAGTATTGATTACTATTTTAAGAATGAAATTTGGTGTAAAATACGTTATGAGAAATAACTATGGGATTATTATCTGTGAATATGCAGAAAATAGCAGTGACCTAAGAGTTCACAACAAAAAGAAAATTAATGAAAAAGAAACATTCCATTTCATTAAAAAGTTTAAAAATGATGCCTGTGTATTATATGGATTTCCTGAGAAAACTCCAGCATCTGCTATGATTTAAGCATTTTATTTCACTTATAGTAAACAATGACTTCATTAACTTTTCTAAATATGTACAAATGAAAGGGATGATGTAAGAAGTGTAAGATCAATTCTGCCTCAGATTCTCCTGTTCTTCTTTTCCAGGCAGAATGTAGTTCATAAAGGGGTTGTGTTCTAGGGAGCAGGTTACTGCATGTATGTTTGCTGCAATAGACCTGAAGAGGTTGAAACTGTGGAGTAAGAGAGCTAACTAGCGTGTTGACCCTTTATATAGATCTCTGTCCAACAATTATGTGTATAGTCTATAGCACAATGACATGGCATTGTAACACTTTTATTATATTGTTCAGTATGGTTTTTGCACAATACAGAACTCTGTCTTAAAGAAGAAAATCACTGTGCATGTAACTGCTTACATTGACATCTGGTTGTGGGATATATGAAAACAAGAGAGCACTCTAGGTTTAATAGACCTTTTTGAGGTATTTGTTTTGGGTGAGAAGTGGGTGTGTGGTTCTTTAATTCCTATGGGTATAAAAGGTTAAAATTAATTTTTAAAACATCAATATTGTTCTGTTCTATATGAAGATGATGAGAATGAACTGTGCATGTCTAAGCCTGTTCTAGTACTGTAGGTATTTCTTGAATCCATTGACTCTTACAGAGTGTGTCAGTCATTATATAGTTAAATTCATCCTTTTAACCTTTATCAGAAGTGCTACGTGTACAAAATTGTTGTTTTCAATAGGAAGCTTTTGGTTCTTAGTTCTTCTGAAAATCACCGTTAAATTAATATTTTTTCTGTATATGTTACATTTGCTTTAGCCTGTGAGGACCCTCCTCCCCTACCCTTCATTGAATGGCCACCTTTTTTTTCATTTACTCCTCTTTCCCCTTTTAATGACTAGCACAGTACTTGCCCTTATTGTAGAATGGAGGAACACTTTGGTCAGTTTGGGATTGCCAAGGACATATGCTTAGCACTCTGGTCCAGAGATCAAGTACATTATCTTCCCAATGAGCTTGATCCCCACTAGCTCCAGTGAATGGGATTCCTAAGGTCCATTGTGAATCTGAAATTTTTACGTCAGCCCAATTTGCTGGTGCAATACCACTAAAGTGTCATACCATTATATGCCCACTGCTTAACAAAAGTGGGTGACAGAAACACTTCCCAGCTCCCATACAAATATATAAGCAACTTTTGCTATGGAACAAAAGCAGGGTTTCCCTATGCCTTTGTTGGCATTTGTTGCAAAGTGTTAAATCTGGCCTGTTTGTCACTACAGTATATAGTCACAACCTCCAGATTTATTTTAATGGCCTGTTTAATACACACCCTATTGCTTGTATAAAGAACTCACATACAAAATCATAGAATACCTGCATGGTTGCTGTTGCCTTTTTGTAATCAGTTACTGTTGCTCATTATAAAATTCACCCACAGCAGATTGTTTTTCTTGTCATTTATGTAATGTGCTAGTACTTTTGAGTCATCCTTGTCATATTTCTTCCCACAGCAAAGCGTTATTGTAAGAATTCAAGCCCAACCAGCAGCACAACAAGCAGTTATGCCCCTAGCAGCAGCAGCAATATGAGTTGTGGTGGAGGCAGCAGTGCCAGCAGTACCTGCAGCAAGAGCAGCTTTGACTATACTCATGACATGGAGGCAGCACACATGGCTGCCACTGCTATTCTGAATCTCTCCACTCGCTGCAGGGAGATGCCTCAGAACCTCTCCACTAAACCTCAGGATCTCTGTGCCAGGGTAAAAATGAGCAATTCTGTTTGTTGATGATGATACAAACCTCTGTACTGCACGAGATTTATGCCCTGACAGGTTCAAGAGTAACATTAATACCTCTTGCTGAATCTTTTTTCTCAGAATGAACAAAAATTTGGCACTCTGCTAAAGGAGCAAAATAAAAGATAAAGATGCAAATTACTCCTCAGTAACTCTTGAAATCCAGATCAGTGTATAGAGTTAAAATGATGCTGATAAAATGTGTTGTTCTCTGTTTTAATCCTTCTCTTCCTGATGGGGTTTTTAGTAACTATGAAAGCTACTGAAATTGCTTAAGTAGTATTAATTGCAGTATAGAATTTTTACTAACCACTATCTGATTTATAACTGTAAAATAGAGGATGGTTTAATAATGTAACTTCATGTATAAATCACACATAAACCCTAAGGTTTTATGATCTAGTACAAAGAAAATTTGTGGTATTGTACACAATAATGTCTTAGCTAGCCAGAGTATAAACACTCTCAAATAGATGAATAATACATTTGAAATGAATAAAAAATCCTCCAGTGCAGATAACTTTTGAATTGCTGAACAGTAATAATGCAGTATCACCAATGATCTATAAAGTGTTACTAAAATGTATGATTAAATGGTAACACTGAAATAAAGTATAAAAGATTTTGATGTTAACGTTTATGTATTAAGAAAAACAGTAGCATTGTTCAAAGTCATCCAAATTTTAAAACATTACACAAATCTTTTTATTTTGTTGTAACCAGATTAAACCTTGACTCTGACTTGTGATGAGAAATGATTATTTAAAATACATCAGCAACCAATAAAGTGCTACCTATAGGAGGCCACTAGATGGCTAAATAGACATCTGCAGTGAAGGGGGAACAGTTTTATTGTGCTTATAGAATAGCTTTTGAGCTGGCAGACATGTTCTGCTCTTCTCCAGATAAACAAAAGGTTTTTTCCTGTTGGGTAAAGCTCCTTGATCATTTATAATGAGCTAACAGTCTTACCAGTTGTTATTAGTAATTATCTTAATTTATATGAATTCAGTATGGTTAATAATATTGTTTTCAAATGCTTCCTTTTGCATTAATTGATTTAATCCTATAGATGAGGAAAATGTCTTTGTGGCATGCAAATAAACATGATTGTGCTCAGTGCCATCAGGAATTGGAAAAATCTGAGCAATAACCTTAAAATGTTATGTGGCAAAAAAAAAAAAATAAACTGCAAATCTGGGAAGATAAATACAATAATCAAGACTAGATTAATAACAGGGCAATAATCAGGAATAAACTATTGCAAAACATATTTGTGTAGAATAATACTGTATGACCTATCAAGACAATAAGTAAAGCAAGAGATTTTCATTCAGTGTCTTGCTGCAGTTCTCTTATTAGCTCAGAAGGAAAGATCTGCTAGACATCTGAATAGATGGCAGTATTCACAGCAGTTTTGAAATCTAATTTTTGTTGAAGTGTTTTACTCTTGAAAAATTAAGGATTGGTTGTGTATTTTGCTTCCCCATCCCCCTTCTAAATGCCCTCCCGCTCCCCGGGGAAAAGAAAGAAGATGAGAAAAAGGAAGATGATTTGAAGTGAATGATTCTTGATCTATTTCCCAGGCAAAAGCAACCCCCCCTCCCCCAAAACCTACTCACCCTATACTTCACAGTTCCTCAGTCACTGCAGGGAATGTCAGTACTAGCTTTTTTACCCAAGCCAGCTAATTATATAGATAGTCTTTGGAAAGTTAAGATATATTAAATCTTAATGTCTGTGGTGTAGGCATTTTGAAATTTGGATATATTTTCGCATAATATGAAGGTAGAAAACACAGCATAAACTGACCTGTTTTAGTAAGATTTTTATCTCATTAACTACTAGTGTCAGAAGAGAAAAGTATTTTGCTTTTTTGATGTAACTGATGAAGCTTGCTACCTGATTTTTATTGCTCTAATTACATAACTAGGTATTGGAAGGACTGGAAGTAGGCAGACTCATACAGATGTTAACTCAGTTAGACTAATCTGTCAAGGAGTAAATCTGGGATATAAACATAGCAACAAGAAAATACCTTTGGGAATTTCTCATTTCACTGTCAAATTTTGCATCTGGCTTTTGGGGGGATGGTTAGTGTGAAATTTCCCCTTTTCTTCCAAATATCAGATTAGCCTCTTGTGAAGATATGAGTGAATCTACTTTAACAGCATTAATATTGTGTAACAGAATCATGCTATGTGTGGGAGGGGGCTTAATGCTTATAATCTATACTGGCATGATAAAGCCTTTTATCATTCTACTAAGCAATCAGATTAAAAAACACAGGGAAGTGATGGTTTGATAGTCAAAAGCTGTATTAATAATATTTCTCTTATTTTGACAGAATCCTGATATGGAAGTGGATGAAAATGGAACCTTGGATCTAAGTATGAACAAACAGAGGCAGCGAGATGGTTGCTGTACCATTTTGACACCCCTGGAACCAATGTCACCACAACGACAAGCTGTGATGAATAACCGGTGTTACCAGCTGAATGAAAGTGACTGCTGGGACTTGCCAGTGGACTACACTAAAATGAAGCCCAGAAGGATAGATGAAGATGATTCCAAAGAGATTAATGTATGTCTTTTCAACTATGGGTTCTCTTTGCAATCTGACTGTTTTAATTCATTAGATTTATAAAATAAGAACAGGAAGAGGAAACACAATGTATAGGTAATATGTTCCTGACAAGAGGACTTTTTGGTTAATCTTTCAAAATACATCATGTTGGCACACATCTGATCAGTGACTAACTTCCATCTGACAACATTTGAACCACAAATGTGAATCATGTTTTCTAACAGCACTGTCTTGTTAACAAATATTTTCTTGCGTGAAGATGTTCTAATTTTCCAGATCTACCTTGTTTCATCTGAACAACTTGGCATAACTTTTTTTCAATGTTGGTATCCAGTTTTTACCAGCTTTTAGGACAAGATATTCTTCTCAGGTTAAGAATCAAAAGTGAAGGACAGAATATTTAAGTGTGTTTATATACATAAATCTACTCAAGGAGCATGAACAGACTACAGTATAACTTTTCCATTAATTTAGTTTACCTGGAATTTTGTTCTCAAAAGGCCTGATCCTACATTCTTTATGCATTCAGAACAGCAGGAAGAGCTTTGGTGTCCAAGGGAGACATGCTAAGGCCTTTATACCATAGCAATCAAATAAACTTGTAAACAGAAAGAGGTAAATAAAGAAAACTTGCTCCATAGTGAATTTAGTTTAAGTTTCAAAGCTTGTAATATGAGGCAAGTGTTTTTAGTCACCTCTCTGAAACAGTGGTCCTGAAAGATGTCAGCTGCTTTTTTGGGAGGAAAGGGGGGAGGGTGATGTTTGTAATTTGTCAGGTTTCAATTCTTGTTTGCTAGCATGTTAGCCAAATTTATCCCATTGTAATCTAGACACGAGTTTACAATCCCAGACTTTATATAGCAATATTTTTCTCTTACTTGATCTCCATTATAATATTAGAATTCTTATCAACTATACGCAGCAATATCTCTCTCCAATTAAAATATAGGATGATACGAATTACAAAAGTAAACTTAAAACATGCAATAAAGTGATATTTCTGCTGAAATCAGTGAGGGCTTTGCCATTGACTAGTTAGGGACAGGATTTCTGTCATCTAAGAAATGGGAGATATTAAATACAGCATAGCACATTGACTTGAAACAAGCAGAATAATTCTTTATTTCCGTTGCTCACAGCACCATCTGCAGGAGTTTCTGCATCAGTGCTTTCTGCCACATTTTCTTCACTTCTGAAATTAATGCTTAAATTTCAAATATAAAAAGGTTAACTCCATCTGTAAATTTAATTACAAAATTATATTTTGCCAGACAGATCCACGGAGGTTTGCCCTAGGTTATGACACTATATATGTGTTTAGCAATTGGTTGCTAACATCATTCCTGATTCATCTTTTGGGGGAATGCTTAACCATTTAAGAACATTACTGAAGTTGGCATTTTGATGGATAAGATACTATATTTAGGCTTTGTTTGTCTATGGCTGTGGTTTGTAAAAACTCGTGACTTTGGAAAAAGTATTGATTCCTGTGAAAGAGAGTAGTAGTTCACTGTCAGAGACAGCTGCTGATACAGTTGGGAATAGATACCATACAAGAGAGAATATCTGACTTTTGCCTCTTTCGCCTCTAATTAAATAATATAATTCTTTTTCATGTGTTCTAAAGTGTGCATTGAAATGTACAAATACTATATGAACATCTAGCATATGGGGGGAAAAGTAAAATGTAATTTGTTCTGATTTAGTGGGAATAATGGAGTAGATATGTCTTATAACTGTACATAGCATTATTTTTGTGTATATTTCAGCCTCACGTAAGTGGGACTAATCTCTGTGTGCTTGCCTGCAGCCAGAAGACTTGGATCCTTTCCAAGAGGCACTTGAAGAACGAAGGTATCCTGGTGAAGTTACAATCCCAAGCCCTAAACCCAAATACCCTCAATGCAAAGAGAGCAAAAAGGATTTAATAACGTAAGCATAATGTGAGGTGAAATTATTTTTTCTCTTTCAACCTTTTTTCTATCTTTTTTAAACAAACAAGTACATATATGCCTTGCAGTATGAGCATGCAACATTTGCAGCATATAAATGTTTCCAACTGCCAGTTAAGTAAAGTGATAAGCTAACATGTATTTGCTTGTTCTTAATGATGCTATATTGTATTGAGACGCCATTTTCATTTGATGCTGTTCATTCTGCAGCTTTTTGGTAGGATGCTTAAATCCCCTTGCAGTCATTGCAGCTAAACTGGAAACAATGAAACTTTTAAAAGTTTTTTTTTTTTATTTTTTTAAACATACTTACTATTTTGGCTGTTTTTGTTTTTGTTTGGTGGCAGATGTCCAACACCAGGGTGTGATGGGAGTGGTCATGTGACTGGTAATTACGCCTCACATAGAAGGTGTGACTTCATTTTTTTCATGGTGGATTCTGTCTTTTCAATTTATTGTTTTCAGCTTACCTCAACAATGCTGTCAAAGTAAAAATGTTGAACTATGTGTTAACCCTTTGAGTAATATATGTTGATATTAAAAGCATGCTAATTTGTGTGTTGTATAAACGTCTTTTATTTTTAAATAGACTACTAAAAATTCCAAAGTTTTCTTACTCTTTTCAGTAGTTAACCCAGGATAATAATTTTTTTTTACATTTTACAATTTATTAAAAACTAAAAAAAGGTAATTTACATTATATAGTATGGGAAGTAACATTTATATCTAAATATATTCAGAGGGTTAACTATATTACAAAATTCAGTATTACAGCACTTGCCCCATCGCTTTTCCGCATTACAATTTTTAATTTTTATTTTTTATGTTGTGTTTGTTTGGGAGCATTTAGCTTTTAAGAAGGTTGACTTATTTGGATCTCCTGCCATGTCTTACAGTCTGTCTGGCTGCCCCTTAGCTGACAAAAGCATTCGAAGTATGCTGGCCACAAGCTCACAAGAACTCAAGTAAGATATAAACAAAATCATTCTGTTTACATATTTATTTGCTCAGCTATTATATATAATTATGACAGATTCTAGTAATGCTATTTGGAAAAGTATTAGGTAATACATTGGAACAAAACCTTGCTTGGAATTTTCACAGAAATTGATAGTTCCATGCAGTTATTCAGTCGATCAACAGGTGTGTTTCTTTGGCTTGTTTGTTTGTTTGTTTGTTTGCTTTGGGGTTTTTTGTGCAAAGAGTATATGTTAAGGATGGGCAACTTCAGAAATTTTGCAGTCCCCCTCAGATAAGCATCCACATTTTTGGAATCCCTATTCAAAGTTTATTTAAACTATACAAGTCTTTTGAAGTTGTCAGTCTGAGCTGGATGTAGGAATAGACTGATGAAATTAGTCTGATTCGGAAACTGGCAAAGAATGTACTTGACTATTTCAGAACCTCAGGGAAGGTTGATTTCCAAAAAAATAATTAAAGGTCCATGCTTATGTGTATGGAGAGGTAGGAGGTTTTTATGGAATCTGAACTAGTTTGCGTTGTTCTCTCCAGGTTTGTATCACTACTATCAGCCTAATACATTGCCTCATTTAACCATATTTTTCTAGAATTTTCTTTGCTATTCCTCTGTATTCTTTCTCTCTACAAAGTAATGATTTCCTATCAATAATTCAGAGTTAAAATTGTAAGCAATACACATTAGTGTATTAACATATTATGTTGAATTATTTAATTAAAATATAAAGAAAATACTGAAATAGGATCTTTTAATATTGACAGCAATTACATATCTTTATATATGGTTAGTTACTCTATTCTTATATTTTAAAAAATTAAAAATCTAGATAATACAACTGTTCCTTATGAATGTAGGGAGAAGTCCTACCAAGAATTTTGTAAACTCCTTCAGAAATATCTATATTCTGTTTTGGTAAAGCAATGTTACTGATCCAAATTTACTGTTCCCCTGCAGCCAGAGCTTTGGTTAAAACTATGCTCCTGGACAGGCTGCAGAATTGGATAATTATGTGATATTCCTCAACATACACGAAATACATAGTATAGGGGGACAGATATTTAAAATAAGGAGGAAAGAATGGAAAGGGAGTCTGGAACTGAACAAATACTTGGTGATAATTCCTGATCATGATGAGGCGTATTCCAAACATTATTGTGGGGAGAGAAAGAAGGGTCCTACTTTCCCATAGTATTCTTTCCAGCATGTGACTAGGAGTTTCTTCAGATTCTTACATATATTGTTGGAAGAACAAACCCTAAAGCCCAGGAAATGTTTCACAGAGTCAGATACTAAGGCAGATTGCTCCCTAGATTGTCTAACATAGTGAATTCTCCTAGGGGTTGAGAAACTCATTTTACCTAATTTCAAATCCACTCCAAATTCACAGGTTTGAATGCTCAACTCAAATGTTATTGAGAATCCCTTCCACTTCAAGACTTTGAGATGTGTGGGAGCAGCAAGGGGGCATGGAGATAAAAAAAAAATCAAATGAAAGCAGAGAGTGAGAAATAAAGTGTGGGCAGAGATATTGCTGGACTGTGAACCACATGATGATGTTCATGAAGCTATCTGCAGCAACAGTGGTTGGAGGCATCATGCCTACATGAGGCAAGCACAGACATGCTGGGGGAAAAGGGACAATGCATTTACCACAGGTCATTGCTGCTGCTTTAGAAAAGGTGCAACATACAGAGACCCTGCTTCTGCTCATGTAGTATTAATTACAATACTACAAAGAAGCTCCTTCTTATACCCTGCCACTTCTTCTTCCCTCCGAAGCATCCCAATCTATTTGCCCCAGAGGATTTAGTCTAACCCCACCAGTCCTTCAATTGCCTCCACTCCTGCTTTTTTTGTCCAGGCTGTCTCTTTTCCTATTCTGGTCTCCAGCCATCCCCCTCTCATGTTTCTTGTCCCAATATCCCTCCATTGTCTTCTCATCCAGTCTCTGTGTTTCCCCATTTCAGTTCCTTTTCCCAGGTTCTTTGCCCAGCCAGTGCTTGTATCTGTCCATACTTCTTCTTCATCACATCTATTTCCCCACTGACCACTTCCTCCCTTGCATCTTCCTCTTTATTGTTTCCCCATCCAAATCTCTACTCCTGTCTCCCAGCTTGTTTATTTTTGCTCAGCCAGCCCCAGTTTTCTTCTCACTCCATCCCCAGCCAACCTTCAATCTCAGTCATACCCTCTTCATAATCTTTTTCCAATCTATTCTTTGGTCTGGCTTCTGTCCCCCTTGCATTTGAATCTGGCAGCTACTTGAGCCTAACACACAGAAGGCATTTAGCATACAGGAGAGACAGTTCAGATGCCTGAACAGGACATGGCCTTCAGCAGCACAGACCTGCAATTGAAGGGAAAACCTTGCTCAGTCCTGGGCAAAAGCATGCTCAATATAGATGGAATCATCAGGGAATTTAGCTGCTATTATCTATTAAGTCCCTACTGAGTATGAGTGAACTTCAATTTTGAAAGGCTTATAACTCCAGTCAGGTTTAGACAGGTTTTCATAGGGGTGCACCAGGCACATTCCTGACCCAAAGGGCACCCCAAGTTCAAACATCAAGTCTCTGCTCTAAAAAATGTGTGCACTAGAATTTTTCAAAGAAAAATGACAAGAATGTTTTAGCATGTCGAAAACAACATATTTTTCCTTAGCATCATACCTTGAAACAACTAAACTGCATTGGATAAAACATTCCAGAAAAGTTCAGACACCTAGCATTGAAATTTTCATCTAATGGGTTAAAGTTTGACTAAGTTAGGAGAGTCTATGGACATGATATACCTTGACTTTAGCAAAGCTTTGGATACAGTCTCCCACAGTATTCTTGCCAGCAAGTTAAAGAAGTATGCATGAATAAATGGACTGAAAGGTGAATAGAAAGCTGGATACATTGTTGGGCTCTTTGTGTAGTGATCAACTGCTTGATGTCTGGTTGGCAATCGGTATCAAATCAGTCCCAAGGGTTAGTTCTGGGGAAAGTTTTGCTCAACATCTTTATTAATGACCTGGGTGACATCACGCAGCAAGTTCACAAATGACACTAAGCTAGGGGGAGAGGTAGATATGCTGGAAGGAAGGGAAAAGGTCCAGCGTGGCCTGGACAAATTGGAAATTGGGCCTAAAGAAATCTGATGAGGATCAACAAGGACAAGTGCAGAGTCCTGCACTTGGAACAGAAGAATCCCAAGCATTACTACAGGCTTGGGGGTTGAGTGGGTAAGCAGAAGTTTGGCAGAAAAGGGCCTGAGGATTACAGTGAATGAGAAGCTGGATATGAGTCAACAGGGTGCCCTTGTAGCCAAGAAGGTTAACAGCATACTGCAGTGCATCAGTAGGAGCATTGCCAGCACATCTAGGAAAGTGATTATTCTCCTTTATTCCGCATTAGTGAGGCCACTTCTGGAGTATTTAATCCAATTCTGGACATACACACACCCATATTACAGAAAGGATGTGGACCCATTGGAGAAAGTCCAGCAGAGGGCAACAAAAATGATTAGGGGGCTGGAGCACATGACTTACGAGAGGAGGCTTAGGGATTTGGGGTTGTTTAGTCTACAGGAGAAAAGAGTGAGGGAGGTTTGATAGCAGCCTTTAACTACCTGAAGGGGGATTCCAAAGAGGATGGAGAGAGGCTGTTCGCAGTAGTGACAGATGCCAGAACAAGGAGCAATGGTCTCAAGTTAGAGTGGGGGAGATCTGGATTGGATATTAGGAAAAACTATTTCATTAGGAGGGCGATGAAGCACTAGGACAGGTTACATAGAGAGGTGGTGGAATGTCCATCCCTAGAGATTTTTAAGTCCCACCTTGACAAAGCCCTGACTGGGATGATTTCGTTGGGAATGGTCCTGCTTTTAGCAGGGGGTTGAGCTCAATAACCTCCTGAGGTCTCATCCAACCTTATTATTCTATGATTCTATGAGTCTGAAAATGTGATGTGCTCGGCAACCTTTAAAAACGTTCTCATGCCCCACCTGTAATGTATTGATCATGTGATCAATTAATATAACATTCGCTTTTGATCTATCCTGTTACTGCTACAGGTTGAACCTCTCTCATCTGGGACTCTGGTCTGGCAACTTCCCCAAAATAGTTAATTCGAATTAAGCTAATTCGAAATAACGCACCTATACACAAAAATTATTTCGAAATAGCATTTTGCTATTTCAAAATAGCATGTCCACACTGAGTGGACCATGAACCGAAATTAAGGCTGGCCAGAACCAGTGCCGGCAGGGCATCAGGTTAGGACTTAGTGTGTGGGTCTCCTGACTGAGCCTAACTGAGCTCTGTGCTTAAAGGGACCCTACCCCCAACCCGGACAGACAGTTTTCAGGGTTCCCCACTTGCTTGTCCCCCTCGATGGGGGACAGCAAACCTGTCTTGGAGAGCGCTGAGTGCCCGCACTTGGGACACCACAGAACTCGGCCACATGGAACCAGAGCTGCCCCTGGGCATGCCGTTGCATCTCGTGGGGTTGTTGCCATCAGCCCGGCTGCACTTGCTGCAGGCTGCCATCCGGGGGTCCATCGGGGGACTGTCAGGATCCGGGAGGCTCTGAGGGAGAGCATCCACCCCGAGGAGCCCTCAGAGCCACCCCAGTCCTCCCCACTGGAGGCTCGTGCTCCATTCCTCCCTCATGTCCTTCCACTTACCCCTCTCTAACCCCCCTTCCTGATGTCAAATAAAAGACACGCATGTTCAAAAATACAAACTGGATTTATTGAACAAAACTGGGGGGGATGAACATCTGGGGAGACTGGGAAAAGGAGGTGGGAGAGGGGAAGGGGAAACCTGGGAGGAGGGAGCTGGAAGGGAGAAGCAAGGGGAAGGAGGAGGAGGAGAAGCTCAGGGCTCAGGGTTGAGGGTCTCGCCAGATCAACTTGACTTTCATGCTAACCTGCTCCTGGGTTCGCATGTGGCCTTTGATGGCCAGACTGGCAGGTGTTCTTCCCTAAACGG